CCCCCCCCCCCATAGAAGTTGTAGAAACAAATAGGTAGCAGACATAAATGGCTTAAAGCTGACTTTGGAAGCTTTATGTTAGTTTAATTGGAATCATCTGGCCTACAGAGGAATGCGTTTTCAGTACCTTTTGTGTATTGTTATAAAGCCTGGTCTCTAATTTTAAGAGGTGGTACAGTATAGTGGTTAAAAGCATAAGCAATGGGTTTGGTTCAAATGTCAGTGGAGTATTGCTATTCATTATCCACTATTTCCTGATACATTTTGCAGAAGGGAAGAGAGGAAAATTAAGCTACCTATTAAAACTAATGGGAATGTATTGCATAGGCTGTTGTAAGAAACACAAGTGCAGACTGTGGCTGAAGTACCTCCATGTGGTTCCAGTTTTTCTTTGTAAATGCTACATACCTGTTCTAGGGCTTTAAAAAATAATTACACTTCATGCTCTTTCCCTCCTTTTAAGCATACTAAATAAAGAATGATTTACAGTGGTATATCCTAAAAGTGTGAAGAAAAATGTCTATCTTGAAGTAGTTCTCACACTTGAAGATTGCAGGACTCATGTTTGAAGCTCACCCCATTGCTTCAGTTGCTGGATATTATGGATATGTTGATGATTATGCATGTGTAAGGTTATGCTGAAGAAATATGGTACAGCTGTTAACTGTATGGGTTATGCTCTTCTAACCTGGGTATCCTTCCTCTCAGGACCATATCACCTTCTATCTGCAGCCATATTAATTGGCTCCTCCTCAGGTCTCTCCACTTAGTGATGGGATATCGAACACATATTTTTTGTTATTTCCTTGATGGGGGCTTATAGAAGCTTTGGGAGGGACAATTGAAGTTGTGAAAATAGTACAGGAAATGGGTTAAACACCTTCTGTGCTACTCTTCCCTGTGGAAATTGACAGACTACCAGCTTCAAATGCTACTACTACTTCAGGATGTCTAAGATCAAAAGCTACTTAATCCCTGAAGAAAGAGCACTTCCAGTGCATTTTTGCCATATAGCATTACATTCTTTCTATCTCATTGCTTAAGGATTTCTGATTAACTTGTGATTATTGTAGTAAAATAGGTTTTTCTATCTAGCATTTTCCTAGGATGTATTAATTCTTTGAACAAAATACTGTACTTCTAGTGTCTGGAAATCAACCAGATGTGACTTCAGCAAAGAATGAAGACTTTGTCAATGTTCAGGAGATGTCTACGAAAAGACTTATTGTAGGACCTTTCAATCTTCGGCTCGATAGCAGTGCAGTGCACAGAATTTTGAAAATGATTGTTTGTGCTCTAGAACATGAATATGAGCCATATAACAAGTCTACCTTAGGTATGTTATATATTAATACTTCTTTATTAAAAAGTAGGTGGTTTTCAGTACAGAAATGTTACCTGCAAGTAGTGCGCATATGAGAAGGGAAAGTTTGACAGGAAATTCATTTGAGCCCTTTCAAAGGGAGCACAGAAATGCAATGGTAGTGCCTACATAACCAATCTGTAATACCTTTTGAGAGGTGGAGAGAACAGATGGTCTCATAGCAGTCACATTTTTAAGATCCCAAAGTGAAAACAACCCAAAACATAGGAATATCTTCAGTAGTATCATCATTTATGTTGATGTCTTATAGAGAATGAAATAATAGTTCCCTACCCCAAGAATTTACAGTCTTAAAGAAAATTGAAGAAGGGGAAGGAAATAGAATCAAGGTTAGGAAGGGGAAACATACATGATAATTAAATATACTTTTCTGATGGTATGAAACCATGAAGATTAAAATTAATCAGAAACAGGGTTAAAATGAGCAATGGTGAACTTTTAAAGGCAAATATGTAAATGCTAAGAATGATATTGCTATCTGAAGTGTAAAATGTAACATGGGATATCGTCCAGATACATAAATTTAGAAATAGCTGTTAAACCATAAAATAGTTGTTAAACAATGATGATTGAAAAATGCTTTAGTCATTAATACAGCTGAGTTACTCTAATTTATTATAGATTTTGTTGATGGAGCTAAAGCTGTGCCAAGCTCAGAAGAAATAGGAGCTTTGGAGGAATATATTCCAACTCGAATCACAAATTTTACGATACTGAAGTGCATGGTTACCATTCCTATGGCTGAATTCAACTTGCTTGGCCATTTATTGCCTATAATCATGGGTCAAAAGGTAATATAATATCTGCTATTAGTTAAATATTTGAAATTAAGACATGTAATTACTTGGGTAGATAGTCTTATTTATTTGTATATAGGAAAAACTGGTAAGAAAGCATGAACTGTGTAAACATCTATAATTTTTTAAAGTTTTAATTGGAAATGCATGGCTTTATTTTTACAGTTTATGGTATGTTACATTAATTTCACCTTTATATTTTTTTTCTACTGTATTGAAGAGTTCGAGCAGCTTCTTAAATACGACAAATCTTCAGCCTTTACGTCCTCTGCCTTGTATCCAGCTCCTAGTGGATAAAATGGTTCTGGAACACTCTGTGCCAATGTATGCTGAACAGCTTGTGCAAACTGTCAGCAGCCTTAGCCAACCATCTGATAACTTACTGCACTATTGTTATGCACACTGCTATCTTAAGGTAAGCATAATTTCACATAGAGATACTATCACAGCAATGTTTGCTAATGTCATTGAATCATATCAATGTATGTTTGGGTTTGGGTTTCTTTAATACTTTGAGTCAGGGTTAAAGTTATAGTTCATCATAGTGTATCTGCATTAATAATTTGGGGCCTTAAATTATTTCCTACACATTTTAAAATATGGAGAAATAGGTTAAAATTGAAATGGGTGATTGTATAAATATGCTACTCTATAGCATAATGTTTGGTTTGTTTCAGATATTTAGTTTTCAAGCAGGGCTTTCTTCGCTGGATATGAATGGATCTTATAGTTCACCAGCTTCGGTTATTTCGCCATTCAGTACTGCTGTTTATGGCAAAATGCTTAAGCTTCCTAAATACTGGTGAGTAAGACAATATGGGAAGACACTGTAGACCTTATATATTCATTTAATAACATGATACATTTTATATATACTATATCCTGTGTGTGTGTATTTGTATGCATGTGTACATGTTCACACAATATTTCTTTGGAATCTAATAGTGTATATAGATTGTCTGTAAATATGGCTTTGTCCTAATAAATTGTTAAGGCTGTCATTGCTATTCAGCAAGCACTTTTTATGTTAGAATTTTAAACTAAAACGTTTGCTATTAATGCATAGTTATTGCTATAGATTTGTTTCTGTTCTTTTTGAAATGAATCCTGCAGTTTATAGGCTGACAGTAAAATAAATTTGTAGAAAATGCCTTTCCCACTTCCATCAGTATCACCTAGCTATGGTATGACACCAACTGTAGCAGCTTGTGAAGTAACCTAGAGGAGTGTGTTACTTATTTGCTGAATTTGTAAATGTTATTTTAATTCAGATATCAATTGATCATATTTTCATAAACACTACTAAAGTGTTGCAATATAGCCTTGCCTTACTTCATTTTCTTACTTTTTTGCATGGATCTTACAATTTTATATTCTGTTGAATATAATATTTCTCTGTAGTGTTTGAGAGAGTTGGAAAAATCTTCTGTTTTGTAATAACTGCACTTATATGCAGAATACAATTGTACACCACTAAGTTATGTTAATATCTCACAAAACAACTCTTAATTAGTTCAGATTTGCTTGCCATTCTGTGCTAATATTCGTTGAAGAAAAATACTTCATTGAAAACATTAAGGTTTTAAATTTACAGTAATTGTGACAATAAATAATATGCATCTCTCTTGTGAAAAGGAAACTACTCTGGAAAGTACTTCAGTGTGTATTATTCTTGGCCCTCAGTCAGAGAATCACTTTATATGCTTGGGTCTATATGCCATCAGCTAGGGTAGCTCCTATTTGGAAACACAGATACTCCTTTACACTTCTCAGGCAGAGTCTTGTTTTTAGTAAATAAAAACATTCTAAAATATTGTTTAAATAATCTTGATGCCCCAGTGCTAAATATGCAGAAATACACATATAGTCAACATTGAAAGCATCTTTGTACACATCTGCTAATTTTACTACCTTAGAATAGTTTATAAGTGTGCTTGTGTGTAGTTCTGGTAGCTTGAAGGTAATGAGTATGCTACAATAAGATAAGATGAAGCTCAAATAAATACAGAAATCTTTTAAAATTTATATTCATCTGTACTTTTATAGCACAGTTCACTAATTGAACTGCATTAAATCATTGCCTTGTCTTTATTTTCTTTGTATTATATAATTTATGCTAAGAACGTTAACCAAAATTAATAATTTGAGGATAACGAAGTAGAAATAAATGAGTACTACAGTCACATTGTTAAATGAAGTGAAGTATGAAGTGAATAAAACTCCAGATGAAATACATCAAATAGCACTTGAACTAAATCGAAATCAGCATGTGGACTGAGAGCTTCATTGAAGTCATGCAGTGAGTGGGAACTAGTCTGGGAGAGTAACCTGGTAATGTCATTAAACTTCGACTT